GATAAATTAGTCACTCAATGCCTAATTTTTTAGTTACATATTAATTAGGTTTATTTTCCTTTTTTCACTTGAACAAAACAAAGCCAAAGATACTTAATTTATTATGCGGATTTACGGTTATTTTATGCTCTAAACATATTTAGTTTTTACTGGCCAAACTGTTTTAGTCAAGAAAAGTTAAAGATTAAACGGCTTGATAAGGTATGAGTAATTTTTTCTCATAGGAGAGTTGGTGCTTATTTTGTTCAAAATGTGAAGTTGACTAATTGTTTTTTAACAATTTTTTTTCCATTCTTAGTTAGCATTCAAGAAGAATCGTTGTATCGATGTTTGTTATCTTTTACGATTCTTCTCTATATTTCTCAAGAAAGAGTCTGACAACATCTCGCACCTTCAGTGACGAAGGTACAAAGAGTATTGCGTCGATGACTGTCCTTGCAAGGAGAATGTGTGCATAACTCTTCACAGTGATTTCTCCCACTCTCGGACGGGAGTCAGCAGAACTCTTCACAGTGATCTCTCCCACTCTCGAGTCAGCAGAACTCTTCAAATAAAGAGTATTGCTAAGACTATTTCTTTTGCGGCTGTGAAAGCCTAGTTATGTTATTGCTAAAACTCTCTTTTGCTCCTTTAAACTTTTTTTGCTGCTTTAGGAGATCTAATTGTTTCAACATTCCTAAAGAAACAGGAGACAGGGTGCAAATATAAACCTTGGCGATTCCTCAAAACGAGACCTAATCACTTCTTGGAATCTACTAATATTTTGTTATTCCAAAAAAGGAAGATGCCCCAATAGGACGGTTCAAATATTTTAATTTTTCTATGTGAAAAGTACAAAAATACAGAGACCTGTACAAAAAAAAAATATTGAGGAAGAGAAGGCATCCGTTCCTTAACTTCTTCAAGAGACTCAAGCAATGCTTTTTTTTTTTTTGAAACCACAATGATTTCTTCTTGCTTTTTAAGAAAACGATGAAAAATGTGTTAGGGACTAAAAAAATCGGAGGCTCTCCTTTCCTTTTACCGGTGACTAGTTCTTCCTCCTCCGTGTCTTAAACCGTCGTTCTTAAGATTTACGCCGTTTTCTCAATCTCATGAAGGCGAGTTTTAAGCTTTTCTTGTGATCCCCCTTCTTAAAAAAAAGTCTAACATAAATGAATTTGTATAAAGAGTTAATTAGTGAAATAATATTTTTGAGCATGTAAGTTAATAAAATAGCATGTGCAGTTTGAAAATTTGGTAAGTAGCAAAGATAAACAAAATTAGACTATTTTACCCTTTTTGCTACATTTAATTAAAATTGTCACATTTAATTCACATTTAATGTAAATTTG